AATATATATACATATATGTATGTATGTGTGTTGGTGACGTACGCTGCTGAGTGGAACTCTAAACTACGGCTGCTGTAGCTGCCACCAGCTAACGCGTTGCCTACCTCAAGGCGCTCGCAACATGTGCTCTAGGGAGAAGCGTGCAGCGCTCGGCGGCAAGCAGTTTACTTTTATCATGATGCTGCCATCATCGCATAACTCACTATATACAACTGAGGCTGCCCACCTGCAGCGTGTACCTTGCACAACTACTTAGCTACAAGTACCCGTGTATGTTTGTGTGCGTGTGCGCCCACCAACTTTTATCTTTACAACATTGTTGTAACAAAAATTTTTTTCTGGTTGCACTTCACTTTTTGTCATTTGTTATTATTATTATTTTTTCCTACTCTCGCTGTGTTTGCATATGCATCTATAATGTGAAATGAATTTATTTGTGGCGCGCAAACACCAAACACACACACGTCCAGACACGCGGTAGGTAGTGGGCAGGTGTAAACGTGTATATGCGCGCAGCGGCGCAACGAAACGCCAGTTGGCGATAAGAAGACGTGCGGCGCCGCTGTAATGTATTGCTTAATATCACTGCTTTTTAGGTATGCATATGTATGTGTGTGTGGCTCCCGCAGACAGCTATCGATTTCTTTACAAATTCACGCTTTTTCTTGCATTTATTTTTATATATCTGAGAGTTTGCTGCTGTTGCAAATTTGGTTGTGATTTTTGGCATTTGAGGGCGTTGGCAGCCAAAGTAAGCAAATAAAATATTTAAATAAAAAAGTTTTGTACATTTGCAAATCAGCTCAATGTGTTCAATCGTCTGTTAGCGAGTTTTAAATTGCAGCAAAAAATATGCTAGTCTATTTACGCCCAAGCATTCGATTGGAATCACCTAAATACGCGCCCACGGTGTCGTGGCACTTCATTAAATTTGCAAATCACCGCCGTGAAATATAAATGAATAGCGCCATTTCAAATAGAATTGTGATAATTTGCTTTTACAGCTTTGCCTTGAGCCCGAAAATCGTAATCAAAACGAAATATAAGCAGACAAGCTCACAAAATTTTATGCGAATTCATCGACATTCAAGGCTATTTTATATTCTATTCTATTGTGTATGTGTTGGCAGCAGCTCTGTGATTATAAAAGTGGGAGTTAATCAAATTCACAGCTCTCAGGCGGAATTTAACGCCACAAATGCTGCAGTAGATAGCCTCAAAACACACAAAAAAAAGGTAAAAAATAAAAAAATTTTGAATATAAATTTATTTTTTGATGAAGTCTACCTGGTTTTAGGGCCTGACGAAGTGAAAAAAATTGTATATGTAGACTCTTACTTAATAAATTTTTTTATTTTTTTTTAATAAAAGCCTTATTAATTTTTTAATCTAATTTTTAGCTCATGTGACAAAAATTATTGGGATAGATAACGAACTGTCGAACTTTCATGGTAATGTTAAATAAACTACTCCTTTGATACCTGACTTGACTTAATAATAAATGAATGAACTCAATGCGTGTTCAAACACAGCTGTTACGACAAAGACATGTTCCGATGTGCAGTAAAACAAATTTGAGCGAATTAAGGTCAATAAATTTTTTCGTATGCGAAAGTTCTGTTCATCATTACACACGGCAGTTCAATGGACCGTCACAGGCACGTGATAAAGCGTAACCAAAATGTGGGAAGATGAAACATTCAGGTGGCAAGATAATCGGAACTGTATTTTGAGGAGGGATCAACGCGTATATGGTATAATTTTCATTGATTATCATGAAATGTAAAAATTCACACATAACGACTATTTCATAAGATAATTGAGACTTTTAGATAACGAAATTGCGGAAAACGATCCGATTTGAAAAAGAATAAAGTTTTCAGATCTCAATGGCATTGTCGTTGGAAGAAAATCTCTGAGAGTGAGTAGTATTTTGATGCAAAAAAATAAATCGTACTACAAAATTGTACCGAAAGTTCAAATATAGTTATAATCCATGTATCGCAGATAGGACACGATCATAATCTAAACAGAATAACGGAGCACTCGCATTGGTTAAAAACTAATTATAACCTAAGTTTTGGTGCTTTACATACTTTAAGAGAAATTTTTGAATTTTTTTAAGGACTTTGTGGTTAACTAACTTGAGAGGCTAGAAAAAGCTTAAGTAGAAATACTACGCCGCATATACCAAAGTATGGTATAGTAGCCTACACCCAAACCATAAAATAATACAGCTTTTTTTAGTAATTAAACGAGAGCACAAATGGAAAATTGACGGAGCTCGAAGTTGTACAAACTCTAAGAATATAACAATAGGTTTGAGAAGATTCGAGAGGAATGTTTGTAAATTCACGTTAAAAGGATTAGTTGGCATGACTGGTAGTATTCGATGGCTTGTTTTGTTGTAGAGTAACAAAGTTTGGTTTAAGTAAAAAAAGACGAAACTAAAAATTCATAGAATATATCTGCTTGGGTTTTAAAACTAGTGTCATTGACATTTAAATTTGATAAGCCTTTAAGATATACACTTTTGCTTTACACTTTTTCTGAAGTAAATGCCAAGCATTTTGAGCCAAATCTCTTTGTTCCTTACTCAAATTCCCTAGGAACAGTTACACATTTCTTGGACACTGTCACAAGCTCAGCTTTCTTCATTAATTTTTACCTACCTTACAGTAAACAACCAAAACAACATTAGCAATAACAACAAAGATAAAGACAAAAATGATTAAGCTTAATGATTAAGCCAAAATAACTCCAACTACAACGAGCATTAAGAGAGTTGTCACAATTTAGCATGGGAGTTTACATACATACATAGAAGCTATGAGCTGATATATTATGCGTATTCACTGACCTTAGACACTTTAGCATTAGTTAAACATTTTGCTACTACCGCTGCCTCTTGCAGTTCTAGACTATATATTGCTTTAACCTGCTTTGCATACCAAATTACAGCGAGAGCGCGCTGACTAAGTGCCAGTGATTTCTTCCCTTACTGTATTCTAACTCAACAGAAAATTACGACATTTTTCTATTCAACACACACATATATACACACATGCACAAGCAAGCCACTTCCTTTACGCCCACAATGAATTCCAGCTGTAATTTCGCTATTTAAACTTTTCTAGAGCCAGAGAGAGAATGGAAATTATTTGCTGGCACTACTTTGCTTTGTTCGCCTTTTATTAAGCTACGCTTTGTTTCAACTGTTTGCTTTGCTTTCCTTTCATTTCGTTTAATTTTAATGAACCGAAACAAGTTGTTTGAGATAATTTGTTGCTTTCATTCCACTAACTGGCACATTAAAAAATGCAGCATGCAACGTAGAGTGACAAAGAATATACCGTTATATGCAGGTATATACAAGCATATATACATATCTATGTGTATGTAGAATCAGCATTTCAGCGTAGAAAAATTGAAAAATATTTGTTGAAATGCGCACTGGCAACAGTTTGCAGGCTATTCACCTTGGCATAGCGCCTTGGCGTATGCAACATTCGTTGAATGAATGACACGGAAGGAAATTAGGGAGAATAATATAACTTAGTGCCTTGCAGCACGCAGCTTTATAGTTGCTGGAATACAGAACTATGTTGAAGAAGGTTGCAGAGAAGTAAGGTGTGACTGAATTCGGGCAGAATAGAAAGCTAGGTAATAGGGCAAATTTGGATTAATATACAAACATTTTTTTTTTTATTTTATGCTATCCGCTTGGTTCTAATTTTCCAAATAAGAATTTTTAAGATATTTGGAAAAATTAACGTTACATAGAATGTCGGCATGGGCCGATTTTATATAGTCGGCTTGATTTTTCTCTCACAAACGGACAGACAAGCCTAAATAAAATATTTTTATTTGGATTTATTTTTCTCCTTTGTGGATGGCATGTAACCTATGTTCATGAATTTGTGAAGCCTAGAAGTACCGTTATATTTCAAAAAGTCTAAATGATTCATAAATTAATGTGTATTAACCTTTTTTTGTTATAGAAAATATTTAACGAGTTTATGTACTGTATTAGTTACATTTTTTTTTGCTCTTGTGTTGCCAAACCGACCGAACTTAATTAAGCAAATTGTCCGCTAAATTCGTTTCTGGGTATCTAACTACATAGGTTTAGTTTTACTTCGACAATCAACACAGTTTTCAAACCCTCTTTAGCTTAACAGAACTATAATGCTGCACGGTGGTATAAAAATTATATAAGCAAAGAAGAGTTAGAGGTTTTACAAGCAACCTTTGTTTTATTTTGCAACACATTTTTTTACACCAAGTCGTTTACTATAGCGGCCAACTGGCCTTGTTGCACGATGAATGCAAAGCGCAGCATATAACATATAACACCGGGTGGCCACATTGCACTGGCAACATTAAGATCTTCCAAATGCACGATTTTTATTTTAATTAACGCAGTAATTACGATTTTCATTCATTTCCTGCAGCAAACCAATTTCCGCTGCGCCGCACTACGTTGCAACGTCAAGGCGAACAACCGGAACGTCACAAACACACAGCCAGAAAGAGGGAGAGAGAAAGAGAGAGAGGGCACAGCTTGCACTGACAATTTACAAATTCGCAGCATTTGCACTTGACACGATGTTTGCACCGCGCTGGCCGCCGCGGAAGATGGCCGAGAAGCTTTCAAATGCAATACCTGACAGTTGCAGTGCGAGAATGACAGGCTACGGAGTGTGAAAAGAGGCAAGAGCATGAAGTGAAAGAGCGGTAGCAACAAAGGCGGCAAACTGATGCGCCGTTTGGAAGAAATATTGCAGTCAAAATTGTGGAAAATGGAAGTAACAAAAGCAACAACAACGAAACAGAGAAGCATTAAAATAACAACAAAATACAAAAAGTGAATAAATTATTAAGTTAGCTAATAGTTGCAAAGGTTTGTTTGCGCCGCGAAAACGAAAATTGAAAGCAAACAATTTGCTTTCGTGGTGAAGTGGACGAGGGGGTTATATACTGATAGTGCTGTTACTTACCTGATTCAATGTTGTGCATGTAGATCTCACGCAGCAGCAACAATTCATCTTCTGGTGCGGCGGACATGGCGCCGAAAGCGTCGTTCTCTGGCCAGACCTCTCTGCAATTATGAAAATGTTGCAAAAAGAAAACAACAAAAAATAGTTATTATTATCTTCTTCATTACTTTTAAAAGGGAGTAAGGTGTAAGTAGTTTACTTTAGAGAACTGTAAATATTAGCGGAATTGTTTGTTAATAATAAATGAAGAAATCTGTTTATGGTGTGGCAACTTAAAATTATTTTTCGCATTTACAGGGGTTTAGGTATGGTGTTTATTCGGGTGGATAAAAAAAATTCAATTTTTATCGCTTGGTACTCTGAAAAATTTAGTTCTTAAAAATGTTTAAGAAAATTCCTTTAAGTATGAGCTCTTAATTGTAACGTTAAGGTCCTCGACCTTATAGTTTTCTATTTTTTTCCAATTACAAGTATAAGAATAATAAAGTCTATATATCTCACTTTCAACTTCTCAAAAAAAAGATCTCATTTCATAGATTTTGTAGGAAATTGAATGCTCTACAAAAATGTCTTTTACGATTATTTCGTAAGCTAGATTGAGACAGTCGAGGCGACATGCTTTTCTTGAGGCGTATTTTCCACCAGCAAAATCATTCGCTGTAGACGGGAACAGGTAGTAATCACTAGGTCCGGACTGTAAGATGGTAGGTAGGTAGGTAGGTAGAGTGGCTGTCTAACGACGCATCTAGGCCTATAGGAGGCCCATTGTGATACCACCGATACTAATGTTCCCTCACTATATCGTCTCCTCTCTGAACCAACCTGCTCTTCTGATAAAGCTCATCAGTACAAATAGTTTTATATGTGCAACTTCCGCTACGTCCTCAAGGAATACTCGACAGATAGTTGCGATTCTTTTCCTGTATAAAAGTTGTTTTATAGTTTCCTCTTCTTCTACTTCCTGACAGCTTCTACAATAGTCGTTGTAAGGTACACCTAGCCTGCTGGCATATCTACCAATTAGACAGTGACCTGTTAGTACTCCTATCAGAGTTCTTATGTCATTCCTTTTGGATTTTAGTAATCGGTTTATGCGACTCACGCTCCAATCCTGCCACGTTCGTCTGCTAGTAGAGCAAGTTGTTGTTTGTCTTCACCGAGACTCAGCTAGATTTACAGCATGTTCGCTGATTAAGTTTTTGCAAGTTGCCAGAGACATAAAAATTCCCTCTTTTTCAGGGGTTAGTAGCAAAGTGGTACCTATTCTGGCTAGTTCATCCGCTTCGCAGTTACCAGGGATATCACTATGTCCTGGAACCCATTGCGGGTTTATGGCGAAGTATGATGTTAGATCCTCTAATAGGTCTAGACATTCTTTCACTATCTTGGATGAGACCATTGGAGACTTGAGTGATTTTAAGGCCGCTTGCCTATCCGTATATATTATGTATATATATGCTCCTTGTGTGAGCACAATTTTTGTCAGTACCACAAGGCTTTCTTTGATTGCTGTGATCTCCGCCTGGAAGACACCGGTGTGGTCTGGTAAACGGAAGGCGATTTTGGTGTCTAATGTTACGCAAAAGACACCACCTCCCATTCGATTATCCAGTTTATATCCATGCATGTAGATGCTAATTCCTGTCCACCTCGTCCCTTTCTCACTCCTCTCTGGTGGGGAAGGCAATATTGTGGACCGAATTTAGCTTCAATTCTATTGGATTGCGGAAATCCGTGATTTTGGGTAGGAACGGGAATATACTGAGTATCCTAGAATGCTCCTTGTTGCATGCGACTAGTTGGAAGGATTCCCTCAGTCTGAGAGCTGACTTTGCTGCCACTTGCTTACAGAACTGTTCTGTTGGCAATAAATGTAGAATGACGTTTAGAGCCTGGCTTGGTGTTGTTCTAAGAGCTCCACTAATGCAAATACTGGGTGCTCTTTGTATATTCTCCAAACTCTTCACCGCGTATTTCTTTTCTATTATTGGCCATCATACCAATATACCGTATGTCATGATTGGTCTGACAACTGTTGTATAGAGCCAATAAGCTATCCGAGGCGTTAGCCCCCATTTGGGGCCCACCATCCTTTTACAGGTGTAGAGTGCTGTGGCTGCCTTCTTAACCCTAGCATCCAAGTTTTGTTAAACTGCAAGCTTCCTGTCTAAGATTAGTCCTAGGTAGCATGATTTCTCTCCAATTGTTGGTCTGCAACCATTTAATAATGGCGCCGTAACTTCTGGAGTATTATGCTTTCTGGCGAACAATACTAGCTCTGTCTTACCAGCATTTAAGTTTAATCCGCGCGATACAGCCCAACGATTTATATCGTCCAAGATCGTTTGCATAAAGTTTGCAATAGTATTCGGGAATTTACCTTTAACCAATACGGCCACATCATCAGCGTAGGCCACAACATTTGCCCCCTTCTTTTCTAGATCCAACAGCAACTTATTCATTGTCAGGATCCAGAGAAGTAGAGATAACACGCATCCGTGAAGTGTACCTCTTTGGAGAGAACTGCACATCGTTGACGCTCCCAGCGTTAAAATTATTGACCTGCTCGTGAGCATCTGTTCAATTAATTTTCTGAGAGGTTCAGAGATGTCCAGATCCTTAAGCGCACTCAGTCCCTAGGCTGGTTATTATTGAAGGCTCCTTCTATATCAAAGAAGGAAATTAGAGTGTATTCTTTAACTTCCAGAGATTTTTTAATTTCCGCCACCACAGAGCTTAGCGTTGTTTCTGTTGATTTTCCTTTAGAATACGCATGCTGCGAACCAGCCAACTTTTCTGGTTTCAGTTTGTTTCTTATATGTAATTCTATTAGTCTTTTCAGCGTTTTTAGAAGGAATGAATGTAACTCTGCGACTGCTGTAATTGAGGCGGGAACCGACCGTCTGGTCCTGGCGACTTGAAGGGCTTAAAGCTATTTATTGCTCAACGTACGTTGCTTTCTGACACTATGTTTATAAGAGTGGCGTCTATTTCTGCTCCACTGTCTTGAGTATATTCAGCAGTATGGATCTCAGAGCTGCCTAGGAAGTGAATATCCATTAACAGTCCCAGTGACCCTTCACTGGATACCGTCCAACTGCGGTCTGGCTTCTGAAGATAACCGATTCTATGCACAGATTGAGCCATTATTTTTCTAAGTCGAGACGCTTCCGCCGTGTTCTCGAGTTCATTACAAAAAGATTTCCAAGACTTTCTTTTTGCTCTACTAACTTCTTTTTTGTATGACCTAATGAGGTTGTAATACTAATCCCAGTCTAACCCGCCTTGGGATTGCTTAGCTAAATCGAACTGCTTTCTGCATTTTTTCTGTAGGTTTTAAAGTTCTAGAGACCACCAGGGGGGCCTAATTCTACCCCTACTTCGTGTTATTGAACAAGCCGCTTCTAATGCTTGCCGGCAAGATTCCGTGAGTCGATTAACGAGGATATCGAGATCCTCCTTACTATTGGGCTGAAACGGTAGAATCATAGGGATACGTTTTTCCAGCTCTTGCATGTGCACCTGCCAGTTCGTTTTCCTATGATTCCTGAAGTTAATTCCTCTATCGGCCCTTTCCTCTATTGTACATTCAATATATCGGTGATCCGAAAAGGAACCCTGTAAGATGGTAAGAACCTCCTAACTAAGCTTACGCAGCTCATGGTGAATAACTATCGATGTGTGTGGCCTGGCGTTGTTCTGATGTAACACAATTCTCCACCTAATGGCCAAAGCTGGCCTCTAGGGGCGATTAAAGAATGAAAATTGGAAAAGATGAAATTAAATTTAAGCGTGATTGGATGTTACAATGTCACGACCACTACTCTCATTTTCAGAAATATTTTCTCTTTGCATGTGTCCATCTTTGATACGTGATCAAACAACACTGAATCAAGCAATCACAAACCAGTTTTTCTTGCAACGTTTACATATTTTGCCAACTTGTTGCATATAAAATCTAAAAAATTTGCGATTGGTTTTTGGCGTTACGAATTGAGTGTATCCTTAGGTATGGTCTTATTGTTGGAACGAAGTAATTAAATGTAAACTACTTTGAACCTAGACCTCTGCACTACCGATATGAACACAAAATGAAGTATTATGTGTAATGTAATTAATTTAACAGGTTTATATTTAGATATTTATTTCTTGAAGCTTTATACGAAAAACAATTTTATATTTAACACATTTTAATTTCACATATTTGTAAAGGCGAAGAGCGATGCTTACAAGCAAGAAATAAAAATGACATATATATTCACAAATAAGTTTTCTCCACGTATGTACACTTACATATACATATATCAAACCCGCTCTTTGTCCTTGCGCCTAAAAACAAATTACAAATAATTGAAATAAGCTAGTCTTTTATTAATTTAACTTTATACAAATAATAGGTTTAAAGCAACCTTTAATCGTAAGAGAGACTTAGCGGCAAGGACTTCAAAAGCGGAAAGTAGATTTGAAGATGATGGTTGCTTGTTGTTGTTGTAGCGGCAGAATACTGCCGCGTTGACAGTCCTAGCCGGCATAACAATCCGAGTCCGTTCCGGTTACGTAGACCCGACTGTCGTGGGAACGGTTTATGATGGGTGCTCTTTTATATTGGTAATTTTTTTCTGAGTCCAGCAGCAGTTGTATAGAATATGATCTAATATATGAATGTACACGGTATGCCATATTTTTATGGCGATACGCAAACATTAAATAATATAATGAATTACTAAGCAACGAATGTATATAATATGTTATTAGCATATATCTTTCACTTTGTTCTAAAGATAGACTCGCACACGTTTTCAGTTGATTGGCAACCAGATATACGATACGAGTATTTCGCAGCAAATAAAGTCGTTTTGTGCTTAGTGTTCTTTTTTCATGTTCTTCGCGCTTAAATTCGTTGCTGACTTGGGAACTACAAATTGGTGCTCCATTCTTGCAATATACTATGTTCATATATCTGCACTCGTTTTAGGCCACCATGTTGGTCTATAGCCGCGTACAATTCACCTCAGGTAGCCAGCTATATCTCAAATGGGATTATATGGGTACCGGATCACATATCTAACGCCACAAAAGAAAGTACATTCCGGAAGAATTA